GCAGTTTGAAAATTTCGTAATTCACATGGCTACAGAAGGGGTCAAAACCTTAATTTTTAATAACGAGGAAATTAATTTCACCAGGGCTTTTTAAGTCCTACATTAATTAAAAGGGATTTCAAAATTATCACGGTTATAATCATGCACATGTTGATTATAGGTAATTCAGTGGCGAATCCAGAGGGGGGGGGGTGTTCCGGGGGTTGGAACCCCCCCCCCCCCCCCCTCCTTTTTTTTTGGACGATCAATGCATTTGAATGGGGACATATAGTTGGAACCCCCCCTTTTAAAAATGGCTGGATCCGCCCCTGTAATTTATACAAAAAGTTGAGCATTTTGAGTAACCAGTTGCCATCTAATTTTAACGGTCCAACATTATTGTTATAAAAAGTCTAATGTATTTATCATATATATGAAGCTGCTTAAAAGGGGCGTGCCATTTTTTCCATCCCTCTTAAAAAAAAAGCCTTGGCAAATTTAAATCTAGACACGTAGCTGTACAATGGAGCCTATGAGGATGCAATCTAAGTATATATTTCAATAACTGAAAATCAGCTGATATTTTCAAGTAATATAGATTATATATATTTTTTAAACTGTTCGTTTCGTTGTTTTGAGAGGGAATTTTTGTTTATTTTAGAATATAGGACAACGGAGTTGGTGTACGTGGGTTCGATTCCCACCCTAGGCATTCATTTAAATCGGCTGGTGCAAAGTGGGCAGTTTAGCTTAGTGGCCCCGCACTGATTCTGTTGTTCTTGTGTCAAAAAATTCAAGAGACCAACGCCAGGTCTCCCTATCTTTCTTTTTCTTTTCGAAGACCATATCCAACAAAACCATGGTATAATTGTGAAAATTATACCATAGATAGCTATGGTATAATTTTCGGTTATTGGGATTTATACTCTTGTTGCATTCCCATAGGTTACATTGTACAGCTATAGGTTAATAATAAATAAACTGGTATAAAATTCGTTAAGCCTTGGGATTCTATTGCATGTCTAGCCTCTTTTAAAAGAGGAACCTACTGACAAGACAACATTTAGACTTGTACATGTAAAAAGTATCTGCATATTTTTCATTTCATCTATCATAATGCTATGCATTTGCTACTGTGTCATCCAAAAATATGGTCATCAGAAAGAAAAAAAAATTAAAGCCTTTGGTAAAGCATTTTATTTTTATTTTTATTATTTCCTATATTGTAATAAGTAATTCTGTAAAAAAATATACATTAAAAAGTAAACGTTTTTTGAAACAGTAACAACACATTATTTACTAAAAGGATCTATTATATGTTCCTCTCTTGAACTTTGATTAAACACAAGATATAGATTAGGCCTTATTGAAACCTCCAATGACCATGGAGTCGATAAACTTTTATAACGGATAGTTAATTCAGCTAGGTCCTGAGGATTATGTTAATGTGTGAACAGTCAGTGGCAAATCCAGCCATTTATAAAAAGTGTGTGGGGGTCATAACCCAGGCTAAAGGGGGGTTCCAACTAAATGTCCTCAATCAAATGCATTGATCGTCAGAAAAAAGGGGAGTTCCAATCCCCAGAACCCTCCTCTTGATCCAGCACTGTCAGTGAACTTGATTTTTTGGGTTACATATACAAAACATAAATTGTTAAATGGTGGTAAAACATATTTTCATTTGTAATGTCCTTCTTTACTTAAAATATATTTTGAACCCCCTTGAAATATGTAAACTACTTATTTATGTGCCAAAAAATGATCCTCCCGCTTTAAATTTATAAAAAAATAATTGAACCCCCCTTTTCCACTTACAGAAAAAACTTGATCCCCCTACATTTTGACCAGCCCCCCCCCCCCTCCCAGGTAAAAAAATGACAAGTCCCTAAATGTCTACGTATTTTTTATTAATTTTTTTTTTTGTATCTGGGGGTTTTAGTTTTCCAAGAATTTTTATTCATTCGAGTCATGTTAATTGATTTTTTTAATTTGTGTATCTATAAAAGGCGAATCTTAACTTCCGCTGATGCACACCCGTTTGCCTTAATTACTTTACGATTGTGCTATGGTCGTAATTCAATGTAACTATAAAAAGAGATATCAAGAATATAAAAGGGTCTTCGCGGGGTTTCCTTCTCATCTGTAATATTTTTTTTAAATTTTTTTCTATATTCTTTTTAAATTTTGCACATTATTCCTGATTCTGTACATTATTCTCTGTCCTTATTATTCTGGCCTATTTTTCTCGATTCTTTATTTTCTTAATCCATTTTCTGTAATGTTAGCCCCTTATATTCTCTATTCTATAAAATCCATTCAGACCCTCTATAACTTTTTTTTAATTTCAGAACCAGTCAGCAGTTTGTTGCTTATCATTAATATGAAATAAATAAATCGATGCATCAACAAGAAATGGTGCATGAATATGTGTCCATAGAACACCAATCCCCCATTCGCACTACACATATCCATGTTAAATTTGCATATTTTGTTAAACAGTTCTCTGCATCATGAGTTTCATTTTGATGTGATCTCATAGTAACTTAAACCCAAAATTTGACCTCACACACGCTTTAACTGACATTTTATTGTAAAAAAAAACTGTCAATTGAAATCTTGGTCAATCCATAAGGACAAGTGGCGATAAGGGTCTTTTTTTAGACCCGTCGCAATTTTCATTTCATTTTTCATGTTGTAACCGTCGGGAAATCGTGACACTCTTGTATTTATTTTATATAAAATTGAGAATGGAAACGGTATTCTGTTTGTAGCAAGATGTATAATGGGGGTGGGGTGATAAAGGCGAATAGGACATGTACTTTTTAAGTATTACACAAACTTAAGTGCATACTTTTTGGAAATTGTTTTTATATTCTAATTATTTTTTCGAATCAAACTCGAAGGAAAATGTCAAAGATACACAAAATCTCTTGTATTCAAGAGAATTTTGTAACGTAATAGGGGCCTAGATGGACGAGCTGTTTAAGTAGTTAAACTACAATGTTCACTCTGAGCCTTTCAAGACTGCTTGTGGCTGTATTTTGACCTCAATTGACCTGGATTCGCACAGAGTAATACAAGTGGCGTTAAACATCAAATAAATCAATCTCAATATAACGTAACGAACATCAAGAATCTCTTAAGGAATACGATATATATCCTTTGGTTTATTGAGAAATAGTTCATCATTATATTTGTTTCATAATCTCATACATCTACGCCATATCTAAATTCTTTAAATGATGCATGAAATTTTGCCATTGTACAATCTCCTGCCAAGTAATATAACAAAATATGTTGATGCAATTTACGGGATTATTTGTTAATATCTTTGTTTGTTATTTGTTGGCGTTCCCATCAATGTGTTTTTTATACATAGAAGAACAATTATCGACGATGTTAGGGACTGTCTTAAAATTGTAATGAAATTGTCGAAAACATTTTTGACAAAGACAACCATATTTTTATGTATAGGAACAGTGAAAAGGATAAATCGAGAGGAACATCATGTTGAATAACGGAAAACATACAACAATAGTAAAATGAATATTAGTTCGAGCTGTTATATAACTACTATATAATTACAAAGAGAGGGAAATTAGGGACTGCCTTGGTAAATTATCAAGTTGCTTCATTTTGATTGGGGGCTGTCATTTGTAACTGAAGAGTGAATAATAATAATAATAATTAGTATTGAGAACTTGATGAGGAGGGGAGAATTTTTATGTCTTTGAAAGTGGGATCTTGAATTTATTTTCTTTCATCAAGGTGGGAACTTGAAAAAATAGAGAAATTCCAATGTTTCCTTCCATCCACTTGAATGCTTAAAAATAAGAATCTCGTCACCTTAACAAAAAAAAAAAAACAAAAAAAAACAGATTTAGGATTTTAAAAAATCGGATTTTCATGCCTACAACATTCTTAATTTGAAAATAAAATTTTATAGGTATAAACAAAAGCAATCACATTATGGCAAAGTGAACGATCATACTTTTCAATTAAAACTACTAGAATTATAGAAATGTGTTTAATAAGAAAGAACCTAACAGGTATTGAGTACGGGGTTGCTGCATACATTTTATACCTTTTAAAAAACGCGAACCTGATAGAGCGCATGGCAACTGGTGTATTTACATTGAAACTATGGATTCATACCATTACATTCATGTATTCAATTATTGTTTTCTCAATTTCTAAACTGTTATTTGTTTTAAATAATCGTAATGTATTTACAAAAATTTCTATTCAATAAAGGGCACCGTCAACCGCGGAAATAGTGTATAACCACAGGTCTACAATAGATAGGGAATGATGGAAATTTTAGCTTAGCATAAATATTTATTGTTAACTTTATATAAACTCCGTGTAAAACGTGAGTGATAGTATGACATAGATTTGAGAACTAGTAAATAAGCGTTTCTAATTTTCTTGTGTGAGAATATTTTGTACAAATTGTAGTACAGAGTTATGTGCATGCACGACGTATCCCTTCATGAGTTATTAAAACTGAAAGCACATACATGTATCCCTGGCTGTATAGTGCTGTGCTAGCTCAATTACTTATAAGTTTTAATGGTCAATTATTTGGACTTTTGGAAGCAAGGACAATGTGCTCGATCGTTTAATTTAAATGAAAAGAAACTCAAATGTAGAAATGGTTTTACGATTATTTCAGAAATTAAACAAATTCAGTTACTTATGATTGGGACAAAATAATATGAATACATGTATTCTGGTTAACTAATGGAACTTAATTTTCTGTAAGAAAATTTGATGTTGTTGATTTTAACCAAATGCCAACAGGTTAAATCACTACGATTTGACTTACGACTGCCTGTTAACACTCGTAAGTTTACGATCAAACTTACGATAAAATTCTACTTACGATTGTTTATGAAACGGTCAAAAACTTACGATTTGACGTACGACCGACGTAAGATCTAAGATTGTCGTACGATTTTTTGTGAAACGATGGCCTGGATCTTATTTCAAATATATAATACAGACACAGTTATCTCTCCTTGGCGTCCTCTCCGTGGACTAACGTGCTCAGCGATGACGTCCCCAGCGATGATTAGCTGTTGACCCCTTATCGATACCAGGTCAACAATCACTTTCGAAAAATACCTAGCACAAGCCGTAATAGTATACTACATGTCAATACACGTATGCTCCAACGAATTAGACTTTTTGTTACAACATGAGTAGTTTTTCAGGTGTCTGATTTTATTCTAAAGATGTCAAAGATAAACAGAGCCAGAGAAGACATTCGTGCGATTAATAACGAGGAAGGAAGTCCTGCAAAGAAAGTGAAAGTTGCAACATCTTCTGAAAGTAGTTTTTCTGAAGATAGATTTGTGAATGGAGCTGCCAGAATTAAATTAAAGAAAGGAGATGGCTTATATGAGTATGATTAACATTGTTTCATTTACTATCTTCGAATTGAATACGTGGGTTGATAATGCAGACTAATTTAGTGGGCTACAACAGGTTGGGGATTATTACCCAAATGACGAAAGGTTTTAACAGGTTGGGGACAAGTCAGGAAATGTGGGGTATTCCCTGTTTTCAGGGAACACCCCAGTTTTCTGGTGTTAAAAAACCCCAGTTTACAGGGACTTCCTTTTTCTATTTCAATTTAAAGCATGAAATCTACAAAAGCGCACATTTTAACTGCGTCAGTAGTATTTGTAAATACTTAAAGTATTGGGCTATTCCAGAAATAGTCTGTCCCCCCCCTATGGAAGACATTGGAATTCCATATTTTTTTTTCTTGATTTTTTCTAAAATTCCAAACAAATTTTCTGTCTGGACCAAAAAATTCCAAACTTTTTGTCTGTTAGTGCACATGAAATTCCATGTATTTTCCAAAGGGACGAATAATTTCCATATAATTTTTACTGGTAGTCATTTAGATTTTCCAGAACAGAAATATTTTGTGACCCATAATTTCCAGGTTTAAAACACAAGAGTTCTGATTAATTCCCTATGTATATGTACATTTCTTGGGAGGGGGACAAAAGTCTGATACAGCGATAGTAGTTTAGAGAATAAATGATATATTGATACTATGGAATTTCATTTTGTAGGTTGCACTTTGTAAATACAGCTGTTTCACAGACTGCCTCTTTTGGGGGATACATTTGTATATCATATTCATAGATATTTTGTTTTGTATATGTACTCGTTCCCAGATATGATCTATATGTTTTATCTCTGACATAGAGACATAACTTGGGAATGTTACCAGTATAGGTAGATATTTATAGGTAGCGGCCAACTTGAATTCTGAGGAAGACCCAAAATGAAGGGAAAGGGGGGAGCAGTACAGAATTTTATAAGTATAAGTTCAAACTCTTAGAAGTTCTGGGCATGTAAATGTTGAAAATATGCCGCAGATCCCTATGGTTAGACTTTTGAATAAAATAGTTGTGCATATCAACAACTTTTCATTCTAGGATATAATTTTTGTTACAAAACTTTATAGTGAAAGTGGCACAGTTTGAGCTGTAAAGGGGGTTCCTATGGGAAATTGCATTGTCTTTATTTACAGATGTGCAACTTACGATTTTTATGTATACAAAACTGTTGAATGTTAATCAGGTGCAAATTTCATAATGATTGGATTAATAGCATCCATGATTAGCATCACTCAGTGGAAAATTATATCACATGGGAAGATAAAAACAAAGAAAATTTGGTTTGACAAATATTTGATGCCTTAATGACCTTTTTAAACACATCAAAAATAAATACTGACATCTGATTAGTTTCAGACTTATGATGTAATCAAGTAGATGATAATTTCAACCTAATTATAAATTTAGAATTTAATCTGTATTTTTCACCATTAATTAACACCAATAAATTGTGCAATTTGATATCTCCTAAATTTTAGAATGAAATTTAGGGTTTGTCCTATATCATTATAAACAAATGACTTCAAACTAAATAGCCAGAACATTTACCAATAAACAGCTAATTGATACATCCTTTATTCAAACACACTTGTTTGTCTTCACAGCAGGAAATTGTCTTATTACCACAATATTGTAGATGAATGACCAGAAATGACCAGCTGTGTACTTTGACTCTACTATGGATTGCAAAATAATGTTACACATAGATAGATTCATTTAGATTGTTATCAGAATCAGTGGCAAACTGTTTTACTGACTTTTGAATTTACACACAGAAGATCTCCCCCTTTTTTTTTTAAATGCAAGGCAATGTGAACTTTTATAAATTGATTATTTGTGTTTAGTGTTTTATTTTCATATGAAAGCATATAACTTAGATAAGAAAAATAGATATAATAAGAAATGACTGATGTTTGAAGAATTAAAACCTATTTTCAAAAATATTTTTATTGTGTACTGAAATGAAACTTTAGATGATATTGAATGCAATGTTCTCCTACCAATTGAATAATCTGAAAATGTATTCTCTTAATAATGATGTCCAAATTTGACATGAGTTTTGAAATTTAAAAAGTTTATAAAAATTCATTACACAAAAAAACTGACATTCTTAAGTCATCCTGTTTTACAATTTACTATTTGTCAAGCCTGCAACTAGAGTTCCCCAAGCTAGACATAGCAATCCTTCTCTCTAGTGTCATCAACATTTAAAGGAGTAGGTCCGGTAAGGGCCAATTTTGGCCTCAAATTTCAGGTGCACCTGATGAAAGATTTTGGGCACTTTTTAAACACATAAGAGTCTTCTTCAGTCGATTCAATTAGTTGATGTGAAAGATTTCAACTGATTAAGTCATTACAGACGGCAAAATTCAAGCTTATATATATGAAAAATCTATCAAGTATGCCACAAAATGTCACTTTTCAGATGTTTTTTTTATCAAAAATGAAAGTGGCCGCATTCGTGTTCATTCTCAACCCTTTATATATGTTATTTATTATCATTAAATACAACATACATCTAAATATTGAGACTGAACACAAATGCGGCCGTTTCCATTTTAGACGGAAACCGTCTAAAAATTAGCTCAAATTGTAAAATCGTGAAGATTGCAGTAATTTTGCATGATTTAACGATGCTAGTACCCGATACATGTGCATTGTATTGTCAAAAAAAAGCCCATACTTATGTAACAGAAGTATTCTTAGCTTTTCAATAAATAGCTGAAAGTTTACATTTTAACAATTTTGTAAACCTGCTATATTTTGGGGCCAAAAAGGGGTGTTACTGGGCCTACTCCTTTGTTTTGGGTAATTTCTTTTTTATTTTAAGTCAATAGCTTTGTTAAATATTCATGGAATTTTGCTTAACTGACAGACGCTTCTTCTATACAAAGACAGCATCCAGAGATTATTATTCTTTTTCAATATTTCACTGATATAATGGACTAAGTTTTTTTTGCACTAACATATATTGTTTACAAAACTTTGAAATTTTCAAAAAACTAAGGATTTTTTATTCCAGGAATAGATTACCTTAGCTGTATTTGGCAAAATCTCATTTTGGGTCCCCAATGCTCTTCAACTTCATAATTTATTAGGCATTTTATTAATTTTTTGGATTCGAGCATCACTGTTGAGTCTTTTGTAGATAAAACCCTGGTCTGGTGTTCACAATTTTAAGCCTGGTATCAATAATGTGGTTTTTTAGACTTCAAAATAACTTTGTCAAAGCATTATGGAATGATTGATATATATATTGATTGAATGATTGGTGTTGATGCCACTTCAGCACTATAGTGCTATTTTGTGGCGGTCGGTTTTTATTGGGTGGAGGAAGCCATAGAGAACCATGACATTCAGTAGGAAAACTAACAATCATAGTCAATAATGAGTTGGAGTTGAGGGCACCTGCCATGTGCGGGATTCAAAACCTCATAGTTGACAAGCTAAATATACAGTAGTTAGAATACTTAGACCTCTTGGGCACTAAGGCCCCTAGAATGATATAAATAGCTTCTTCAAGATCAAGAGTAAAATTTAAAAATATTTGTTTCATTTTTTATATTTTACAGATAAATGGCATTTTTGAAGTTATTATTTAGATATAGTATTGGGTTAAAGTATTAAGACATCAATAACTATAGAATTTCAAGAACAAGGACAGAAGTTTCTTCTTGACAAAAACATTGCAATTAAGAAAAAAATAGTTGGGTTTTTTATGTTATCTCTTCTGTATATTACTGATGATTAGTTTCTTCATACTTGATAAATACCCGACATGTAGAGTAAAATTTTGAATTTTCCACCCATTCTTCCATAAATATTATTTCACAGTCAACATTTAGGTAAGTGAAAGATTTTGAATAACTTTTGTCAAACCTTTGTGGAATTTTACAAAACTTACAAAACTTAGACAGAAGCTTTCTTGTAAATCAAGAAATAGAACCCTGAACAAATTTTGATTAATTTTTATATATAAATAAAATAAAGATAAAAACCTATCTTGCAATAGTTTAAATTGAAGAGATAAACAGGGTCATATGCAGACGTGTATTTAGGGGGAGGTCTCTGCCTTATAGAGCTAGCACTAATCTAATAAGCAACATTTTAATTCAAAAAGACACAATTTTTTAGTTGACAAGATAAATTAAGAGTACAAATTAAACATCCAAGTATCATTTTCTGTGATTAGGGATAATTTCATAGAATTTGATCCAATATCCACACATTTTGGTGCAAATCATATCTCTGGCCTTTCATAAATACTGTGCTATGTAGCAATGTTTTGTTTTTTTCCGGAATTGTATTTATAATTAAAGGGAAACCTTCATCAAAGACCACCCCTTTTGTTTTTGTTTTTCATTTATTTCTTTTTTATTACTGTTTAAAGTTTAAAAAAAAAATTTAATATCTTCTTTTTTTATTATTATGGTAATTTTACCATGCCCATTTTATATAAATTTTATTGTTTATCAGTTAATTTCATAGTATAGTTTTATATGCAATATTTTTAAAATCTGTTTGTTTTAGGATTTTAAAAAATACGCTTTCATATTTTATTGTTAATACTTATATATGTGAATGGATATATGTTGTAAAGCGCTTAGGGTAATTTTAATATTATATAAATCGCTGTTATAAATACTGTACAATAATAATAATAATTATAGTTTTTGATTTGTTAATTTAAATTTGAATTTTGATTTTTTGATTTTCTAACTATTTCAATAAAATTTAATGTTGAATTAAGTGTTTCATGGTAAGAATTTTGTCCTAAGAATATCAGTTTACTTGTGTGGATTACATGATGATGGTCATTAATTAGTTCTGCACAGTGAAATATTTTGTAGGAACTGTGATGTTCATACAAATAATTTTATAGCTCATTTCACTAATTCACCAATGTTCTATTTCTTTTGAATCCTATTGATAGGTTTTTATGGGATCTGGCATCTATTGTAGAATCTGTTTTAAAAAGATGCCAGTA